ATCAATATGAATAAAAACAATAATAATAATAGTAATAATAAAAACAATAACAGCAGTAACAACAATAGTAATAAAGGTAACACAATAATAATAATGATAAAAATAATAAACTAATTAACAATATTAATATAGGTAACACAATAATAATAATGATAAAAATAATAAACTAATTAACTGATACCCAAAACTGAATATATGTTAACAAATGAAGTAAAATAACACACTTTATAATACAGCATCTTTACATTGTCAGAAAGCGCCACAACACTCAGTTCAAACATATATATAGTAACACAAAAATACCAATCATACAAATTATGGTTGAGAATATTCTTAAAATACATATCATAAAAGTTATGCTAAATAACTGGCTTTCGATGTTTGCACAGGGAGGGTTCATGGAGTACTAAAAATTTGTACTGAACACCTACCACTGAATAGGTGTACAAATGTAAATTAACACATTACCTAAATGGAAGAAGAGGAGGAGGTAAGGGAAGGAGGGAAGGAGGGAGGGAGGGAGGGAGGGAGGAGGGAGGGAGAGGGAGAGGGAAGAGAGGGGAGAGAGGGGGGAGGGGGAGAGGGGAGAGAGGAGAGAGGGGGAGAGAGGGGAGGGAGGGGGAGAGAGGGAGAGGGGAGAGGGGAGAGAGGGGGGAGAGAGGGAGAGAGAAAAAATGCATGTAGACCTTATCTTAAATTATACACACACACAGAAAAAAAATGATGCAATGATGATCACTTTTACAACATGAAATCTCTTGATTGCAAGAGCAAGGACAGTACTTTTATGAGGCAGACAGAGGATATTAACTCTTTCCATACCCCAGATAAAAGCAGGAATCTAACCCATTTTGTTTGGAGATAGTACAGGCCTTGTGTCATGCACATAACCAATGTACTACCAAAGCAACCTGTAAAATATGCTTTATAATAAAAAAGAAAATGGAAAAAGAAAAAATCATAATCATAATAAGAATTCTAACCCGTTGCCACCAGGGAAGGCACGTATGCACATGCCATGCCAATAATGAGTTTACTTTATTAACTGTATTTACAAATAGATGGCCATACACGCGATTAGTCACTAAAGACTTGATCACTATTCTGAGCCTCTTTGCTGTTCAACCCTTTTCCTTGCTTTTTGGAAATATCTTATTTAATTTTCAACTGCTATTAGTATAATTCATAACATTGGAATAATTGTCAATAATACTGATAACAGCATCAATATTAATAGCATCAGAAAAGGAAAAAAAAAGATCATGGAGACTATAAATTGACTCCCTGGTGGCTGTTCACTTATGAAGCTGTCATTGGGTATATACATATCATAAAACAAAATACAGTGAACATCATATTTTCCCCAATGGCACTGGGGTTGAGAATGCTTCATTAAAACGGAATAATAATAATGATAAAAACACGACTAGCAGCCACTCTCATTCAGTTTAAAATAAAGCTACCAATGGAATCAAAATAATCATAAAGCTCTTCCAAATATATGTAATGACCCATTTCTTTATTGCAGATCCTTACAAAGACGAAAATGCATTTATCATTCACTGTAACTAATCAAATGTACATCACTGACCACTCTTAGTTTGAATTTTTCTTAATAAGGCTATTTAGGTTCATTTCACTTATTCCACTTCTTCAAAATCACTTCCAGAATTCAAAAGCAAAATGAGATTTATATCCTGATATCAAGTTATTGGACCTTGGACATGTATTAATCACATGCCGTACAATACATGTTAATTGGAGAGCATCTTTCTGAAGCTTTTTTTAATTCTTATTTATCTGTTTTTTAGTTTCAGGAATATAATGATTTCAGTTTTCACTTCCTAATGAACATCTAGGAACATTTCTACTTTGGATAAGTCTAAGATGGCGTGTAACAAAACACCAAATTTGTTTATTACAAAACTATATGTCTCGTTATCATATGTACTTAAATGGAAGACTTCATTGAAACAGTAATGCACACAACTTTCTGTCCATTCATTTCAACGAAGGTTATAATATACATACACATTTTTTTATATATATATATAAATTCAGCCTAGACACAATAAAAAAATTTATATGTAATCTTCACCTACAACATTACACATTTTTAAAAATTCTTGTAACTAAGTCTCTTTTTGAAATGAGCTTACAGTTAAATAATGAGAATATTAGTGGAACTCCAAGAGGGTTACGAGAAATTGTTATCTCGCCCTTCAGTAAACCTGTATTGTGGGTTTTTCTACTGAAATATGAACACGGTAGAGTGTTTTGCCATTTGTAATTAGAATATCATTTAAGTTAACCTGTGGCTTCTGCACATGTAGGCTGAGTGTATGTACCGGGGTATAGTTGACCAGATAACATAATCATATGGTAATCCCCAGAATATCCATACCATTTCTGTAAAGACAGACCATTTTCCCAATAATAATAAATATGCTACTCATTTCCCACTGTATAAACCCAAGCATCTGGAGATTAAACACACTCTTCCATGTATTTGCCTTGTCTTCAACATGAACATGGGATGGAAGAAAATTAATTCCCCACAAGATATTTGCCTGTACTGTTTAACAGCAGTCTTGCCATTTCATTTTCTTCTCATACAATTTCTGGACTAACTTCTATCAATTTAGTCAGGCCTTACAATAACAAATATTTATGTACACAAATGTCTTTAAATACAGTTCATATTACCATGAGACAATCATCACTTTCAATAATTTAAGCACATCTAGGCAAAAATCTTGGTATGCTTGTCATCAAAATAACTCATAGCCAATGTTAACTGTAGGGCTGTAAATTGCAGGTATCCACAAAACAAATATATTGTTTGTGCACAAACTTTTCATTTACAGATGGTGTTTTGGCTATTCACATCTTCACTGTTATTCTCTGGGCACATACCATTACCACACTCAAAACACCACAGGTGAACAATGATAGCATAAATAACATAACACTCTACCAAGTGTACAAATATAAAAGACAGTATGTCTTATCCTATATGCATGTACTGATGAAACAATACCATGCATTCCAACCTTTGTATATCAAAAGAAATAAGAATATGAAACAAATCTTCCCATTAGTTAACCATCGGCTACTACAACCCAGTAACGGCATATTTGGAGAAAAATTCCTTAATGCTGTAACCAAAACGATGATGGTATTCCAGTAGAATCTTAAATATGCTTATTCTTAAACTTACAACCGTTCAAGACTAACTAATGGCACGTTGGGCGTTCTTTTGCATAATGCGTGGCCTTTCAGATCAACCACTACTTGATACAATGAGCAGATAACAACCTACAGCATTGACATTTCTAAGGATTATTGCAGTAGTCATAATTCTACGAAAGCAAAAATGCCTTATTCGTACTCGACAGCAAAAGCTGGAATACCTACAACGAACAGAGGAAGAAAACAACGGCTCTCTCTTGATAAAGTAAAATCGCAAAGGTTTATTATCATATAATCATCACCTGTATATCTTCGTTAAATTGCACTTTCATGTCATTTTTGTGTTGCGCACTGTGATAGATTTTGTAAAGTCATTTGCATAAAGACTTCTTGCTGAATAATATGGGATATAGATGATGAGAAAAAAAGTAATAAAAGAATGAAAAATAGATACTCTGAAATGATGATGATGATGGTAATTTCATAATAATAATAATAATAATAATAATAATAATAATAATAATAATAATAATAATAATAATAATAATAATAATAATGATAATAACAACAATAACAATAGTAATAATAATAATAATAATAATAATAATAATAATAATAATAATAATAATAATAATAATAATAATAATAATAATAATAATAATAACAATAATAATAATAACAACAAAAATAATAATAAAAACAACAATAGTAATAATAATAATAAAAATAATAATAATAGCAACAATAATAAACATCAATGGTCATTAAAATAATCAAAGACATTAATAATCACTATAACTAAACACAATATCAATAATAATAATAATCAATGTAGTACTAAAAAATTCCTAATGAAAAATCTGCGCAGCTTTGAACTGCAAGTTTCTGAAGCGAGAATCTAGTCGTTATTTCCCTACAGACAGACTAAGCTATGCAATTACGCTACAAAATACAAAGGAGGGGGATCTAAACCATCTCTCGGGCCTTATACTATCATTACGCTATAAATCTAGATTACACACGACTCTACCAAAATATAGATCATTTCATGGATCGAAAGGAACAATCTCATCATTCCCTGGGATAAATTCTGTCCATTTGTAACCTACATAGAAAAAAAAAGGGATGCTTATACTCCACTAATTCCTTAAAAATAAGCATTTTCTATCAAAGTCTTTCATTGTAAAGAATTGTAATAATGCTGCTAGTTCTTATTTCTTACTGGCAAACAAAGACATAAAAATATCTCAGGGAGGTTTCTGCAAGACACAGAGGCCTATCTTTTTTTTTCTTTTTTTTCTTTTGTCTTGCTTCGGGAGGCTCTTAGAATTCAGCAATGTGAAGTTATAATTACATATTCTCCTATACATATGTATGTATGTATGTATGTTATATATGTATGTATGTATGTATGTTATGTATGTATGTATATATGTATGCAGACAGAGACATGGCAGACTGCAGACAGATGACATTCTCGCTTGTCACTGCTCCACCCTCGGCACCCAGGGCACAAGTCTCTCGTGGGGTCACACATTTACTTCCCCCAAATAAACCCTTCCAGCAAGACCTGATTCATTCACCTGCTCTATGCCCCAACCTCTTATGTTGACATGTATGCATGAAAGTATGTATGTATGTATGTATGTATGTATGTATGTATGTATGTATGTATATATGTTTATATTATTGTATGTGTGAATGTGTGTATGTGTGTATGTGTTATGTGTGTGTGTGTATGTGTATGTGTATGTGTATGTGTATATGTATGTGTGTGTGTGTGTGTATATGTATGTGTATGTGTGTATGTGTATGTGTATGTGTATGCATGTGTATATATGTGTATGTGTGTATGTATTTGTACATATTGCATGTGCGTGTGCATGTGTGATCATATGTATGTGTATGTGCATTCTTGTGTGGCATGAGCTTACATGTGCAAGTGCAAATTTGTGTGATGTGGTCACTGTGCATGTGCATTTACATATAAGCACGCATACAGTATGCGCATGTGCATCTTTTAGTTTTAAATCTTTGTTCATGAGATAATAAATCTGATATGATTGTATACATACAAAGTTCATGAAAAAAATCTTCAAACCTAAATCAAAATACAAAAAGCTAAATAGGAAACCTTAAGTCTAAATGAATAATGCATATAACTCCAATGTAAATGTCTGTGATAAGTAAAGTTACTGAGCTATGATAATGTACAAATTCTATGCATATCTTCTCAAGTGATATGAAATAAGAAAGCAACCAAAAAAAAGATGAAAAAAAAAAATTCAATTCATTCTAAAACTTCTGAAGTTTCAATCCCCAATGAAGTATTATCTCACACCGAGTCCATTTTCAATATTAAGCTATGCTATAAAAATCTTGGCCAAATCCCCAATCCCATCTATTTCTCTCAAAATCACAAGGTACTTCTATCAAATTTAAATTAAAGCTTGTCTAAATGTTACTCAGACTTATGGGGTAAAGAAGATATCACAGAAATGGACGCTAGACAAAGATTAGTACTTCAAAAAATTATTTTCTATTACACTCTGGAGGTCCTTTCTTTAGAAAATCATCTATAAAAACTGGGGTTATTATCATACTATCATCTAAAAATTCTCTTCAGCTGCATACTCTATATACATCTTTTTCTTTATTGACCCATTCATGGCAGGTGTTGGCTTTTTATGTAATGCAGAGTTTCACTGGCAACAGGTGACATCTACTCACATCAGGAGCCCTGGTCCTGGCAGCTTGGAAGGTGCCCCAGGAACCCAACCTTGAGCTGAGAAATAGCCTCGGCGTGGAGTGGCCCACGCTGACACACCCTAGTCTTACCAAAACTAATTCCTAATTTTACCTTTTGTGAATGGGTTCAAAACAATACCTATACAAAAAAAAATATTAAAATAAAAAATAAAAGAACAATAAAAAACCCTCTGTGTAAGAGCATTTCACCTCCAGCATAGGATTACACTACTTGAGGGAACAAGGGATCATGGTATCACCTTACTAAATAAAAATCTTACTCATGCCCGTACTTCTACACCGCATTAATGAGATTCCATTATGCCCGTAAATATTTGGTGGATGACTACAGGTAGGATGGGCGAGCTGTGGAGAGCTGAAGCCATCACACAATGTTGACTTTAAATGTATGTCACCACACTGTGTTACACTACATGTTGCATTTTCAGTCAAGGAGACTCGGCGGAGGTTCCTTTGGGCATTCCTCAACTAGGTGGCACTTGAAGGAAGCTCTTGAACGGCCAATCCCACGGATGTTTGGTTGATCACTGTACATTCTGTAATAAGGCAGGACTCTTGTCTAACTAAAGTAATAAAGATGTTAAAGAAAATGAAAGAAAAGCTATGAATGAGAGAATTGTATGCTAATACAAATACTGTACTCAATACTAATCCCAAATTATAAACAAACAAACAAACAAAAAAACACACAATAACAACTTTTGTTTAACTTCCTTACACAGAAAAAAATGAAATAACGGAGCGAAAAAAACAGGTTATGTAACAGGACTACTATAAACCTTACCCATTCACTGGCTCAACTTTCTTGGCCCTCCTCGGAGGCGGAACAGGAGCACTCCTAGTAGGCACTCTCAGAGACGGACTCTTGGGGATTCGCAATCTCAAGTCTGGACTCTTGGCCGAGCGATCATTTCTGGAAGAACTCTCTGGGACCATAGGCCTTAAATAATGACTCATGGAGGGACTAGATGGTGCCGAAGAGACACTAAAGGCTGACGACGGAGAGATGAAAAGATCCTGGAGAGAGACCGACTGGAGAGGCAACAGGGCCATGGCTGCACGCTGAGGTAGAGGGGTGCCATAGTGCTCCAAGGGATCCTGCAAAAAGCGTGCAAAAGCGTCAGGACCAGGAAATAGAAGAGGCAAGGATGATAAGATAGAAGGTATAAGAGTAATTATAACATATATGCCCATGTAAGTTTAGCTTGATTGTTACAAATTCTCTCTTATAATGGATGATGTAAGAAGAATTTATTGTGACAAAACAATCCATCATGTTAATACCACCACAGAAAAGCCCACTATGAATATATATATGTATACATTTTCTTTCTTTCTTTCTTTTTTTTTTTTTAACTATTACCAATCTTACCACCACCAAAATCTTCTAATACAACCACCAACATAATACTAAACTGCAGAAAAGCTGAGGATATTTTGGCCTCACTATCTCCATGTGCAAAATATCTGTCCCTTACTAAACTTCTTTAGCTTTGAAAATGTTTAGTGTCCCAGCCAGTATGAAGCAATGAAACAAGTCTGCATTATTGCAAAAACCAATAATAAAAAAAGAAAAAAAAATAATATATATACATGTGACTGTTTATATACATTATAATGTGTTATATATATATAAATATTATATATATATATTATATATTATATATATATATATATATATATATATATATATATTATATATATATATATATATATATATATATATATATATATATATATATATATATAAATATATGTATGTATATCCTTCTCAGGCAAATACCCTTACAATTATAATGTGATAAGTGAAATACCATTTCAGCTGTCTAGCAAATTCTATCCTGCACAATAAAATATAATTAGTCTTTAATTTTGATATATATCTCAAAAATTTCTTTTTACTTCTGCTCATACTGTTTACTTTTAAAATTTTACTTTGTATATCATTCAACGTTTACAAACTCGTATACCCAAAAAATGTACCACATTTGTAATAAGAATTGTACTTTAATATTTTTCCCTCCCCCTTCATTTTTCAGTTTTAAAATTTCGGTTATTTTTCTCTTACGAATCTTTTAGTGCCACACAAAACAAACTACACTAGCAACACTCAGTAACTACTTCTAAGTTAATGCCAATATCAAACCTACATGATACATATTACATAAATCACCTCAAGATACGAACACTAGCAATGGCATATCAGTACTAACTTAGAAAAGACGACAGACCTACAGTGAGTGAAATCTGATATACAGACCCAATCAGAGGTTATATAACATCAGAACATTGATTCCATTCATACTTCTTTACTCACTAAATATTCTAAGCTTCAGACATACTTACTTTGCCTGTTTTCCTTCTGATCTGTACCCTTAGCATGATCAGCTGGGCTCGCAAATGATCGTAACTGAAAAGTGCAACAAAGCTTGGAAAAACGGTAAGGCAACATCAACGCTCATTCCTCATCTCTTGCATTCAGACTTATGCGAGTCTACTGTTATGCAATGAAAAGCAAATACTTTTATGAGAAAAAAAATATATATAACAACATAAAAGTTAATAACACAGAATAAGTATTTACATATCTAACATATATGTGACCTGTAATGTTGTAATTGCAAAAGTTTCAGCTTTCCTGTACCAAAAGCTCATTTAGGATAAACTTCTGACTGCCCAATCACTGCAAAGCACCACTGGCAATACACCCACCATTATGCACAAAACTGTTTAAAATAATCTTGGTAGCTAAAACACTGTACAAAATATAAAGAGAGTGATAAAAAGGTGCATGTTTGTATATGTTTATCTCCCACCAAGGCATAATAAATATCCAGATAGGTAAATAGACAGATAGATAGATAGATAGAGATATAAAAGTGCACTTCATGGATACTTGCATGAAACAAATATTTGGAGCACAATTATTTACAGTATTCTGAAAACACCTCCAATTACATTAACCCACTGCAGCCAGGCTCTGCCCCCTTAGAGTTTAGTTTATTAATAGTTGCTACACATATATGGTTCCACAAGTACTTAGTCACATAGGAGTCTCTTACTAGTAATGCCTATCCCACCTGTTTACCCTTTTCCTTGATTTTCCAAAACATTCTCTTTAAAAATCTCATATTGCTATTAGTAAAGTTACAGTCATTATAAAGCTTATAATATCTATAATCATAATAACAGAATTAACAGCATTAATAAAACAAAAAAAAACATTTTTCACAAAAAACAAGGAAAGGTAAAACCATATACTGTCATGAGGTCTACTAATTGACTCGGTGGCTGAGCACTTGTATAGCCATCCATGCGCAGAGATATTTCACAAAAGAATTCAAGGTGAACATTACACTTTCTCAGCAGCAATGGGTTAATAAGAAATAACCCATCAAAATCCATTTCCATTACCAAGTTAAACGGAATCAATCACCTACATACAAAATAAGGTCATGGCTTTAATATCAATGGGCTATAAGACAAAAACTGAGTATTTATAATCCTATATGTATGTTATATACTTGAAAATGTGTAATTACAGCTTGGTGCTTGTCAATCTAGCATGCACATTAAGTACAGAAAAGTACTGGTACAATATCACTAGCCTATATACAAACAAGCACTCTGCTACATTGAAGGGCCATAATACTCACCTTGCATGCAAAATTTTACCGATCCAGGACTGAACACTGGCCTCCGAGTGTGCAAAGAACAACTGCTTTCTGTCCGGATCATCCTACAAAAGAGCAATGCATTAATATATTGTGTTCACTTCTCACAAGAAAATGTATATACAAAAGAAAATAAATATAAGCAAATAAGTAAGCAAGTAAATATAAAATGATGATAAACAAATATAGTGAAGGTTTGTCAAGGGGTAAATATATATCAGATATGTGAACCAATCTGTGACATAAATATATCATAATTTTCTTATGGTTTCATTTCACTTTTACAAGATAAAGCAAAGCACTGAATAACAGCATCACATGCACCAATTTCTAAAAAAACAATATATTCCTCTCCACAGGATAACTCTAAACATATAACACCACAAACAGAACACAGAAAAAGATCAAGCACACTGATATTCGCCCGCAGACTCAAAACTGCTTCGCTCACCTTCCACCTGATCGCAAATCCAAAGGGTAGATTAGCTTCCTCCTCTCTCTGTACCTCGATGTTTTCCAGCACAAACACACCACTGGGCTGAAGGAGATGGTTAAAAATAAAATAATAACAACATTAATGATAAAAATAAACATAAAAAAACATGACGCATTCTCACACAAGATCTTGTGTTATCCATAAATGATGAAAAGAAAAAAAAATTGAATGGAGAAATTACTATAAGATTAATTTCCTCCATGAAAGAGGACCTTAAAAAGACTTATTTTAAAAGGCTCAAGAGCATCAAGTTAAAACCCTAAATCTTCCATTCAATATACTTAATACAGGAGTCAGTACCTCAAAGGTATACCAGATTCAAAGATACCAAAATCTCTCATTTTGTAAACTCACCTCATTCTTTCCAACTCCTCCAAACTCATTAAGTCGATAATAAAAGAGGAAGTTGGATTTCAACTTGAACCATCGTTCCTTATATGCTGAAAGGACAGAAGGCAGAGATACATCTAGAACAAAGATATGATAATTCAGAATAAACAATAGCAAGTTTAAGATAAGTACCAAGTTTACGATTTATCCTAATTTTCCTTTTATCTCACTTACCAATACCACAAGCTCTGAAATCCATTTTTTGATAGACTAAATCAAACATAAAGTCTGAAATACAGATTCAATCTACCATTTATACTACTGTTCATTAATCCACAAGTGAGAGAAGAAAAAATAAGAAATGTGTCTACCCCAGACACACTTTCAAAGCATCTAAAATTTAACCATTTAAATCATAAATACAATGAAAAGCAACTGTAAGTATGGCCTCAAACATAAAAAGGTAAGTACACTAACAAACAAATAAATGAATACATAGATATAAGGAAAAAGG